CTGCTGTTGTAACCCAACCCATCTTAGGTCAGCCTGCAACCCAATAGTTGGTCCCAATCTATCTGTTGAAGCAACATATGTGAAAACTCATGTCCTAAGAGTCAGCTGCAGCATGAATTTATCCATGTTTACTCAGAGGTTACTCCATTGTCTTACTTCCTAGAAAATGTACTTAGATCTGCAACCCTAGTTTGAAACTCATTTTCCAAAGCAATCTCCATTTTTGCAAATAAAAGGAGGTCTTATCTGGTCTTATCATTAAAAGCTGCAGACCTATGGAGACCTAACTCAGAAGTGGGTTTCACTGAGTTCAGTCTGATTTGTTTCAGAGTAAACATGTATAAGATCTTGCTGCATGAACACTGTGCATGCAATGACCCTGCTGCATAAGAAATATCTTACTTGCCATTTTCCCAAATATTTATCAATTGCTTTGTCTTTGGAAGACCTTTGGAACCTGCATATTTTCAATGATGCCTAATCACTTTTTTTTTGTTAAGAAGCACAGTAGCTCAATCAACCATTAATTCTGTACTACTTTGTTTTGAAAAGAATCAAAGTAACTGTCTGTAACTATTTCATTTTGCTCTAAATAGTTAACCACGATAATGCAAAGATAGTTGTTTCAGTTTTAAAAATATTTTACCCATTCCAACTTTTCCCAGTTGCAGATAGCCTATCACAGCAAGAAGGGCTACTTGCACTCTAGAATGCAGAGCAGAGAAGTTGGGATGTCCTCACTCAGAAAGTATTCAACAAGCCTGAAAAGTATAAGATTATATACTTCCTATACCCAGGATAAATGTCCTGGACAACTGAGAAGAATATTTCAGTTCTATCCAGGTCTACCAACAATCACTTATGGTCAACCACAAGTACTCTGTTAAGGACTGCAAGAAGCATTTTGACCCAGCCAATATCCTCCTTGCAAACAGGAGGGGAAATTGCTGCCACACTCATGTGTTTCCTGAGGTTTCTCTCCTCCTTCCTAGGACTGACAGCACATTAATCAGAAACCACCAGCCTCATTCAGTTATATTTTTTTAAATTCAAGAATTTATATCATGTCCTTTAATTCATAAGCATTTACTCTGGGTGGCTTCAAATAATGGGAAATATCACCATGATCTCATAATAAAACAGTCATATAAAACACACAAGTATAAAATAGAAACATGGCCCACAAACAGTAAAAAATAACAAAGTTTGCCACATAAAAACATGATCAGTCTGATAAAAGACAAAAGCAGCCCGTAACAGAAAAGTCTTGATAAGGAAGGCCTAAACCACATGCAGCAAATTACTTGGCTTAAGGACCATGTCATCGGATCTAGGTTGAGTACACACCATAAATTTAAAGCACATGCCACCCCCGCCCCGAAGACTTATGGGATCTGCAAGGGTGCTGGAAATTGTAGCTCTGAGAGGGGAAACTACAGTTCCCAGGATTCTTGTGGGGGGAGGGGTTGTCATGTGCTTTAAAATTATGGGGATACCTCGCAGAGCTACAATCCCCAGCACCCTTGGTGAACTAGTTCCAGGATTTTTCATGTGGTGGGTGGGATATGAATCAAATGTGCTTTACGTATACTGTACTCCGCATTCCCCACCCCGAAAAAGCATGCCTTGTGCTGGATTAGGAAGGGCTGCAGAATAGCAGAACTGTAGAGTTGGAAGGGACACCAAGGGTCATCTAGCTCACCCCCCTGCAATGTGCAACGTGGGGCTCGAACCCACAACCCTGAGATTAAGAGTCTCTACCGACTGAAAAGCAATGACAAACCTAGACAGCATCTTAAAAAGCAGAGACATCACCGTGCCAACAAAGGTCCGTATAATTAAAGCCATGGTTTTCCCAGTAGTGATGTATGGAAGTGAGAGCTGGACCATAAAGAAGGCTGATCACCAAAGAATTGATGCGTTTGAATTATGGTGCTGGAGGAGACTCTTGAGAGTCCCATGGACTGCAAGAAGATCAAACCTACTCCATTCTTAAGGAAATCAGCCCTGAGAGCTCACTGGAAGGACAGATCGTGAAGCTGAGGCTCCAATACTTTGGCCACCTCATGAGAAGAGAAGACTCCCTGGAAAAGACCCTGATGTTGGGAAAGATGGAGGGCACAAGGAGAAGGGGACGACAGAGGACGAGATGGTTGGACAGTGTTCTCGAAGCTACAAACATGAGTTTGACCAAACTGCAGGAGGCAGTGGAAGACAGGAGTGCCTGGCGTGCTCTGGTCCAGGGGGTCATGAAGAGTCAGACACGACTAAACGAATAAACAACACCACCACCGACTGGTCAAATCCAGGTCCGGCTAGGAGAGACCCCTGGCCTGCAATCCTGACCAGCCGCTGCCAGTCAGTGTGGAGACAGCCCTGAGCTATGGAACTCGCTCTCCCGGGAAGGCAGTGCCGGCCTCCACCACCTCAGGGGCTACTAGCCCGACGGCTATGTTCTAACCTCCACTGCTCATGCGCTCATGCTCTGCTTGGTGGGCTTCTCACAGGCATTTGGATGGCCATGGCGAGACCAGGGCGCTGGGCGAGCGCGGCCACTGAGGTATCTCCCCCAACGGCCTCCCCCAACCCCGCAGGTCTCGAGCGCGTGGCCGGCTCTGCGCGTGCGCGTACGCGCGCCGCCTGGTTTGTTGCCATGTCGAGCTCTGACCTCACTGACTCCGCGGCGGTCACGCCAGCCCCGCCTCCTCCCTGCCTCCCTACTGTACAGGCCGGCGTTTGAAAAACGGGCGAGTCCACCTGAGCACACTCAGTACAGGGGCGTGTCTGAGGGGGGTAAAAAAAACCCACACGCTCCCGCTCACTGACACCTTCGTGCCTGCCCTTGCTGCGGCTAGCCTGCCCCCACCCTGTGTCGTCCGGGCTGCGCAGCGACGGCCGCCGAGGTGGGCAAAAAGGGCCGGAGCTCCCCCCTCGCTTCTGGAGCAGTTGGACGCGCCCGCGGCCGCGTCACCCATTGTTTACAAACCAACCGCAGCAGCAACAACAGCGTTTTGAGAGCGAGCGAGCGAGCGAGCGGAGAGGGCGCCTCATTGGTAGCTGCGGAACGAGCAGCGGAGGCGGCGGCGTGCGCGCCAAGCGAAGGAAAGGAAAGCGGAGCCGGCTGCTGCCATGCCTTGCCGTCGGGCGGGCGCAGAGCGCTTCCTGCTGCTGGAGCACGCCGTGTCGCTGCCGGGCGGCGCCGTCGGGGCGAGCAGCGGCTCCAAGGAAGTGGACGCGCTGGTGGCCAAGCTGGGCGAGGTGCTGCAGCTGAGCGCCCAGCGCCGCGCGCCGCCGGCTCCTCGCCTGCCCCCCAAGCGCCAGGGCCGCGACCGGGCGGCCCCCTACTCGTCCCCGAGGGGGCTCGGCTTCTTAGCCTCGCTGCACCACCACCACCCGCGGCCGCCCCACGCGCTGTCCCCGGCCTCGCTGCTGCTGCTGCCTCCGTCCCCGCCCAGCGCCGCCGACCGCGAGGGCAGCCCTCGGGTGGCCAAGCAGCTGTGCGGACGGGGCTGGCTGCGGAGCGCCGGGAAGAAGCAGCGCCAGCAGCACTCTCGGCTGTCCGCGGGCGACGAGGACGACGACGACGAGGACGACGACCCGCACCGGCTCCTCCAAGAACTCATTCTGTCCGGCAACCTCATCAAAGAAGCCGTCCGGCGGCTGCAGCTGGCGGCCACGGCGCCCTCGACGGCGCCGGCCGAGGCCTCCTCCGCCACCGCGTCCCCCGGCTCGGCTTCGTCCACCGGCAGCTGCTGCTGCCACAGCAGCAGCGGAGAAGGAGACTCGGCGGCAGCCTCGGCGTACGGCGTCTCCGCTTTGCAGCCCCGGCCCTGACGCCCCCACCCTGCCCGTCCGGGATGCAGCCGTGCCCTCCCGATCGCCTCTTTCACGAGGGGGCAGACTATGGGATGGGGCTTTGCATCTTTTTCCTCTCCGCTACACACAGTTAGGGATTTATGGCGGGGGGGGGGCAGGCCAAACGCGACGGCGACGAGGTGCGACTGCAAATCCCCAGACGCGGATTATCGAGGCAGCGCCGTATATACTTGAAGCAGACTTGTCTATTTGCTACGAGACACTGAACGATTATTATTCTTTGTAGCTCGTCGTTATGGACGAAGCCACGGCTGCTACTGACTCACTGTTCTCTCTTTATTAAGAAAATTGTGGTGCTATGCAGCCCTGGACGGTTGCCCTCGCAGCCTTTCTCTTCGACCAGCTAAGAGCCAGCCAAGATGACCCGAATCTGCCTCCTGCGCCAGGATTTGTGCTTTCCGTCTGAACGCTTGTGCCCCACCGCCGCAGTAGCCTGCTCTTTTTTGGAGGTGGGGGGGGCGAGCAAAAAAAAAAAGGGACCATCCCGCATGGCATTATTTAGTGTGGAATCATTTTTACGCACACGCCGGTGTGTTGCTTGAGGGAGGGCGGGCGAGGGGTGCTGAACAGTAAAGGCATGTCAGATGTTTTCTATTGGAAAGGGAGGGTGGAGCCTGTACACTATTGAATGCAAATATGAATTGGTTTGAAGAGCTGCGCCCCCCACCCTTTTCTGCCAAGGTCACCCCTTTCTGCCTTTCCCCGTCCAGGCTCTGTTTGTTCATGTTGCGTTCCCCAGGCAGTTGGAGATCGTAATCCTATCCGAGCTTGTTTTGACTGGGCTGTGGGCGAACCCTGTGTGTTTTGTAACGGCTGGGAGTCTCCTGAGGACGCACACGTTGCCATCCGAGTTGTTGTGCTTTTCTCTCCCCCCCCCCCTTTTTCTCTCTCTCTCTCTAAAAGCTCCTCCTCTCCCTACAAACAGGATTCTGAGAAAGGAGGTCATGTTACAGCCGTCTTTCTAAGAAATCTCCCCCCCCCCCCAGTCATAAGCAAATCTCTGGGGCTCTGGCCAGCCAAGGGTATTTGGTTTGCCTCTTTTACACCGTCTATGATCCCCAAATTTCCCTTGTGAGTCAATCCTCTTACACACAAAAAAGAGAAAAGAAACGTTGCCTCTTGTTTTGGATTGTCTCAACTGGAACCATTTGCATTATGAGTAAATTCTCTTTTTGGAGACCGGGGTTTTCACCATTTTTATCTTTTACATAAATCTGTTTTGCGGCTGTATGTAGCCATTTAAAAATGTGAATATTCATGCTGGAAAGTGGTTGGCTAACATGCAGTGAGAGGCTGAGGGCGAAGAGGCACATTGTTCACAGAAGGTAGCTAAAAATGAGCTTTTTAAAATTAAAAGCAAAAAAAATAAAAATGAATAAATACACACAGAACCTCAATGGCTCAATCAGCAGAAGCGGCTGTTGACAAAATATAAATATATATACACTTCGTAACGGAGTGTTGGAGTTGTGTTCCTGGTTTTCAGGACTTGTCTTTAATATGTCTGTATTGAATAAACGTGGTAGACTTTTATATGAAAAAGAAATTCTGTGTTCTGTCGTCTTTGCACTAGAGTGGTTTAGTGTTCCCACTTGCTGTATATATGATCAATTGTTTCCTCTTCTGTTAAGCCTTCACGAGGTGGGCGAGGGAGTATGGGGGTTGGGACTAAACCTGGGCTGTGTGATGCAAAGAGCTGGTTACAAAAGTCTCTGAATGCAACTCAGTCCCTTTGTTTGCCAGCAACATTCTTCCAGGCTCCGAAATCCTCTTGTGCATTTTGTAGTTTTGTTCTTGGAATGTACACATTCTAGTTTATTTGATGCAACCACTGAAAATTTAGAATACTATAAAGGGTGTGTGTGTGTGTTTGCATCCCCTTATTCTCACCCCATCTCCCTCCCCTGTCCACTTTTGTGGTAAGAACAGAAAGGATGATGTAGCTCTCATTGCAGCAGTTTTTTTTCTTGATTACGGTAATATTGAGATGCAGGAATCTTGGACCCAATCCAGATCCACTGCCATCAGGAGGAGGCTGCTCATTCATGTTAGTGAGATAAGAATGGCCTTCCCTAGATGCCAATTAAACCAAATGTCCTCGGAACACTTCTCACATTAAGACATTTGCCCTGGATTACTCGGCATCAAGATACAAATGAACTAAAGCATGCTATTCCACCTCTTGCCTCTGTGTCACAATTGCAGACAAAATCTGCTTCTTTGTAGTAGATGGTGATTGTGTCGCGAAGAAAATGGAAGGCAATAAAGCTATGAAAATGTACTTGCCTCATGCTCTAATGCTTTGCAATAAAAGAAGGGCTATGTTAAGATTACTACTTCTTAAGAGTTTTAGAAAAGAAAATGGAAGCAATGACAGGAATAGCTTACTTGCTGCTAGAACTATCTGTGCACACAAATGATTGGTAGATGTTGCAAGAATGTGATAGCCCTTCCCTTTGCAGAAGATGAGGGATAGAAGATGATAGGATCCTACCCAACAAACGAGTAATAATTATGCAAAAAGTCATATGTAATGGCTGCTACTACTAAATAAATAAGAGTGTTAAACATAGAACACATGTATATTTACCTCACTATTTTTTGCCAATTATTTTTTTAGCTAGCCAGGTGGTAAACTAGTAGTGTGAACCCATGACTTATTTCCTTCTGGCCTTAATGATACTAAAATTCCAGTAGCAAATGTAGATTTGATGGTTCAACAGGATTGCCAGGCCTTTACCACTACAATTCTGGACAAATCTGACTTTGATGGGTACCTTGTCAATATGGTCTCATCTGAAGGTAAATGGGTAAAAAAATTAAATGCATCCTTGTGTAATTTACTCTCTCTTTACAAAAGGGGCCAGTGAATACTTTTTTTAAGGACTGGCAAAGCTTGATAAGATGTTCAATTAAGTTTTAATTGCAAAACTGATAACCTACATGTCGGGGGGGCGGGATTCTGCTTCAGTGCACTTGGAGTGGCTCTTGTTTAAACCAATGTACAAATTCTGCTGCATTATAAGGAAATGTTGCAGCTTGGTATGGTAAAGGAATTAGCTGTATAGACTTGGGGTCAAACTAAACATGATGGTCAGATGGATGTGAACACAGATTTAATTGCAAACAGCAATTTGGTATGCTCTAATTGCACCAGAATTGGAGAGTAAGAGTCTATTGTAGTACCAAGGAGTGTAGACCACTTCAGTTTGCTGCACCTTCCCCCTACCCCCAGTGTATTTCTTCCAACCAAGCACACTTTCAATATTAGGGTTTGGCTAAGGGACGCGGGTGGCGCTGTGGGTTAAAGCCTCAGCGCCTAGGGCTTGCCGATCGAAAGGTCAGTGGTTCGAATCCCCACGGCGGGGTGCGCTCCCGTTGCTCGGTCCCAGCGCCTGCCAACCTAGCAGTTCGAAAGCACCCCCGGGTGCAAGTAGATAAATAGGGACCGCTTACTGGTGGGAAGGTAAACGGCGTTTCCGTGTGCGGCTCTGGCTCGCCAGAGTAACGATGTCACGCTGGCCACGTGACCCGGAAGTGTCTCCGGACAGCGCTGGCCCCCGGCCTCTTGAGTGAGATGGGCGCACAACCCCAGAGTCTGGCAAGACTGGCCCGTACGGGCAGGGGTACCTTTACCTTTTACCTTTAAGGAGAAAAGTACCTAGAGAAATGGAACATGGGGGTCCTGTGCCCCTCTTTCTCTTTTGCATAGGCTCCCACCCCCTTTTCCAACAATGAATGGAATCACGGAACCTACATGACTTGGGCAGATTAGTGTTTAAATACTTAAATCTGTTGCAGTCCCATCTAGCTCAGCACTTACGTAACTCATTTTGTCATTGCTTCATATAAAGCAGATGTTTGAAATTGTATCACTGAGTAATTATGTATTCCTTACATGTGCTCTAGGCAAATTGATCTTGAAATAGAGTTTCATAACTCTACGCTAATGGACAAGTTTGGTTCACAACTGCTGTTTGGGGCGAATGTGGAAGGGAAGCTGTTGCAATATACAGCATCTATTGAACAAGCTTTCGTTGTAAAAGCCTTTTTTGTTTGTTTGTTTGTTTCCTGCTTGTATTCTGTATAGCATGGGTGGGGAACCTTCAGCCATAGGGGCTGCATTTAGCCCCCACCCCTGCTCTACAGCAACACAAGAGTAAATGTTATTCAGTGATTGTTCAAGCCAAGAATAGCAAAGGTAAAACAAACAGAAAGCTTAGGTGTTTCCAAAATCAACACTGTCCTGTAGCAAGCTTATTTCCCTCCCACCCCCATATAGTGAAGCTTTTCAAAATTTGAAAATCTAAGCTTAATTCAGTCACTTGTCCTTCCCAATTCCCAGAAACCTTCTGTCTTTTTAATCTCTTTATGCATCTGCCACGTCCCTTTTATTATGGCAACATTTTCTCACCAAAGGAATATATAGCTATGTGAGAAGCACAGACCTCTTCATCAGATACAATAAAAATGTGGATGTTCACTGCACATTATTGTAAAGATTTTGTATTCTTCAGATACAAAGAAGCCTAGCTGCAAAAGGGATAGACAAATACTTGCTTTCGTAACCAGTCCTCTGTGTCACTGAGAATTATATGCCTTTCAATTTAAGCCTTATTTTTTAAAAATTATTTCCAACTTTGGCTATAAGCCCAAGTACACAAGTAAATAGGGAGTTAACCCCATAGGCACAATGATACTTGCTTCTAAGCAAACGTGCATAGGTTTGTCCTGTTCGTTTTGCAAATTGCAACCTTGTTTACTAATTAAAATAGCATGTTGGCTGGCTCAGGGTGACGTGGCCTTTCCCAACAGTTACAAAAACAGGCAAAAAAAAAAAAGTTGGCAAAAAGGAAGAACTAGTGTAGCGGATCAATTCTTCATTCTAAAATCGGTAAAAGGTAAAGGTAAAGGACCCATGGACAGTTAAGGCCACTATGGGGTGCGGCACTCATTTCGCTTTCAGGCCAAGGGAGCTGGTGTTTGTCCACAGGCAAACTAAACCGCTTCTGCCACAACGGGACACCATGACGAGTGCCAGAGCGCATGGAAACGCTGTTTAC